AAAAAAAAAAGCCTAGAGAAGTGGAAGAATATTCCCTGCTCATGGACAGGAAGGCTTAATGTTGTGAAAATGGCAATACTACCAAAGGCAATATACACGTTCAATGCAATCCCAATACAAAACTAGTCTCTTAAGACCAGAAGTCCACTCTATAAATGTCTTGCTAATAACTTCTTCTGAAGGTGCTCAGGAGTCGGCTGGCTGTCTTGTGGCCACATTGAGCCAACCTCTCTCTCCTCTTTTTCACAGACAGAGAGGACAATGCACTTCTACAGGAATGCTACACACGGGCAGCAGAGTCATCCCCTCTCCTCAGTCTGGGCCAGCATGAGAGACAATATTTCAGTGATGAACAGAGGACGAGTATGGAGAGGGAGACGCTCCAGTGTGAAGTACAGTCTGGGAGATGTTCCACAGAGAAGGACCTGGGAAGGACACAGGTTTAAGAGTGTCTCCCTGGATGGAGAAGGCAGGGAACTCGGGAGCCCCGAGCAGTTCACAGGGGTGACTGCGAAGGACCAATGCCAGCACATGTGACACAACACCATTTATCCATGTCTGCAAAGGCGCATCCACGTGTGTCTATGTGGCATGACAAAGAGCCTAGATGGGACACTGATTAAAGAACCTGGCTGCTGACCAAAAGAATGGCAGTCCAAACCTATCACTGGCTCCACAGAAGGAAGATGAAGCAGTCTGGTTCCATAGGGAGGTAAAGCCTTGGAGACTCCTGGGCAGTGGCAGGGTGGCTGAGTCTGGACTGGCTCAGTGGCAGTGGGGGTGGTGGCACACATAAGCAGCCCTGGTAGGGCAGGGGTAAGCACTCAGCTGCTAACCAAAAGGTCACCAATTCAAGCCCACTCTCCAGGAGAAAGCTGTGGCAGGCTGCTTCCGTACGACCTACAGCCTTGGAAACCCTGCGGGGCGGGGCTACTTGCTCAATGGCAACACAGAGCTCACTTAAGCAAACCTGCAAGATCCCATTTCCATCTCTATTTGTATTCAAGAGTGTGTAGCGTGCTGTGCAGCTAACCTAAAGGCTGGTGGTTCGACTCCTCCTGCTAAGACTTCCAGCCTCAGAAGCCGGATGCAAGGTCACACTTAGTAAGAACTGACGTGAAGCCAGTGGTCTCACTCGGTTCATGTGGGTACAGGCTACCTGCAGCCACACCTTCTTCTACTGGCTCTGCTTTATGGCACTTTGACGTCACCATGTGTTTTCAAATGGAGCGTTTGTGGCAACCCAGCATCAAGCAAGTGACTCCGCACCTTGTTTTCAATACTTCATGTCTCCACATCATATTTAGGTCATTCCTATCACTTCTTACCACTCTTTCCTTAATGTTACTGCATACATCCTAGACAACAATATAGTGTCAACGGACTTGTATTCGCACCAGGAAACCCAAACATTTGTGGGACTCACTTTCTTGTGATGCTCACTTTACTCTCATGCTCTGGGACCAAACCACTCTAAGTATTGCCAAAAGATGTCTGCTTTTAAAAAAACAAACAAACAAACCCAACCCACACAAACAAACCAACCCTAAAGTGAAGACTATATTCTCAGCATTATTGCTTAGATTATTAAGAAGGGTAAAATTTAACGGTGGGGAGGAAAGAAAGCAAGCAAACACAAAAGCGAGAGAGAGGTTGACCACAAGTTGAAGCCTGTGTTTTGGGGCAGAGCCCTGCCAAGCACCTGCAGAGACAAACGCACTGGGACTGTCCTTGCACAGATTTTACCTCTAAAGAGTCTGATATGTGCAGATTAAAGTGATAACTAACAGTATTTACTTCAAGGTAAAGCCATTAAATTCAATTAGGACTGTGAAGACGCTGCTGAGAGAGAAAGCATGGATACAAAAGCCGTAAATCATGCTGGTGGTCAAACACTCTGAGGACACATGAACAGCAGCAGGGGCAGGACACCATGTGCTGGGTGACACCATAAGCTGGTGAACAGGGAATCCGCAAGTTCTGAGCTGTACAAACCAGCCGAAGACGGCGAGGAAAGTGCAACCAGGTCCACAAATACACCATTTGTTTGGCAGCATGCTATAATCAAATGTCAGTTGCAAAAAGAAGTTTCCTTAAGTTAACGAACAAAGGCTGGAGGGCTGGAGAGTGACAAGCCCCGGGCCAGCTGTGCCCTCTGAAGCCTGCCGTTCATTTGCACGCTGACTGGCAGCTGCTCTGGCCGTCGGAGCCTCTGGGCCTCTGCGTGCCACGAGCTATTCCAAATGGAAAGGCAGCCGCACCGAATGACCGGCGTCCCCAAGGAGGAAGAACAACAACACAGTCATTTACTCTCACGCCCTAAAATGGATTTTAACTCAGGTCTCTAGCACAGAAAAGAGCCTGCATTAACCTTCAGTGACATCGAGATTCACAAAATGAAAAATAATTTGGTAAACTACTGGCCCAGTGAGTCACCTCATCCCTGAAGGTAATTAAATCCAGCTGAGATATTTAAGCTTCAAAACCACCCA